CCTACACCCGGGTCATTTCAGCCGCGGAGGAAGCATCCCCTGTGCCAGATTTTGGGGTGATTTGTGGTTATAACAAATCCTTTGGATGACTTAAGAGTGCTCAGGCAGGGTGAGACGGCTGAAGATGAGAAGGTGGAGGATGTTTGAGGGGGTGTTAAAGAACTGCCATAACACATCCTCTTTGGAGAGCAATCATCAGAGTCTGCTGGCCTCCAAAGCTGGAGAAACCCAAACAGTGGCTGCAGTTTGGTGTGTCTCACTGTAGAGAACTGAGTGTTTTGTGGGGTGGAGGGGTGGCCAGATGCTTCCTTCTAAAAAACCCATGATTCCATTCCGCTTTCTAGGAAGTGAGTGGAGATACGTGATCCTGTCGACCGTACGCTCCTGTCCCCGAGCAGAGATTGACAGGAAGCCCACCAAGAGCTGGCAGAAGAAGTATCTGGGGTTTGTTACCGACCCAAACCAGGTCAATGTCGGCATCACGCGAGCTCGGGAAGGACTCTGCATTTTAGGTGGGTCTCCTGTGAGCATGCACAGGTCCGCAGGGAAACAGGGTGCTAGTGTGAGGCATCCCTGCCCAGGGCAGGGGGTTGCAACTAGATCATCTTAAGGTCCTTTCCAACCCAAACCATTCTATGATAAAGGGGTGGAAGTCCAGACTGGTACAACTGATGGTCTTGCTTTATTCTTCTACCCTTTAGAGCATCTATGGGTTTGAAACTGGTCTGTCTGGGCAATCTGGAAAGTGGAGATCGTGCACAGCTCATATGCAATGTGTACTATTGTTTTTCTCACCCTCTGCTTGGGACCACATGGTTTCTGTCGCTTGCATGCTGGAGCAATCTCCTAACAGAATTTGGCTGCTTAGTTTCCTCCTAATCACGAGTTGGGAAGCTGCTCACAGATATGACAGCACTGAAAAGGGAGCGGGGATCTCGCAGAGCTCTGGCTGAAGGAGATGTCCCTGTGAGTTATCCAGCACCGTCAGGCTAGAAGGTCCAGGCAGGAATTTCCGTGACTGGTCCGTGATGTTGTTCAAGCTTCGTCTGGCCATTAACCCGCTGCTCCCACTTTGTGCCACCAGGGAACCGGTACCTCCTGGAGTGCAACCCTTTGTGGAGGAGACTGCTCCAGCATTACAGGCAGCAAAACTGCTACACTACAGCCCATGGGATCTCAGTCACGAAGACTTCAGCCTTCCGCCGGTGAGGATGGGCTGTACCTCCATGAGCTCCTCCCTCTCTACCTGAACTGCGTTTCGTGTGCCTTGGGAAGGACGGAATCTTTCCATTATTGAGTCACCCGTGGAGCCAGATGCCGTGTGCAGGATGCTCCCTGCACAGCCACAGCTCCGCTTCAGCGCGTGCTTTGGCATCTTGGGGTTTTTAAATCAGTGCAACCTTGGATAGGAACTTTCAGCTCTAGCAAACCAAAAACCATTGGACACGGATGGATGGGGGGTGACTTTATTGATGATGATGCTATTTTTTTAACCAGAAGATGCTCAGCGGAGCATCCATCCTACCTGCCAGCTTAGCTCTGCTTTGGGGACCAAATGCTCAGTCCATTCGCCGAGGGTGGAACTCCTGCACGCAATGGAGCCACGCAGCAAGCTGCTGTTTGCCATAGAGGACCAAAGCTGCTGAGTGCTACTGCTCCTTTTAAAACCAAGGCCAGGGGATTTTTAAGGCTTCTAGTTTCTCAAAGCAGAAAACCAATGTGGTTTTTTTTATTGTTGTTTTTTAAGTGAAGGAAGAAAGCAAAGAGAACCATGTTCCACTCTTTGTTTAGCCAAAACGCTGTTCTCTGAGCGTGTAAATAGCACAGAGCAAAGGCCAAGATGATTCTGTAAATAGATTTACTTCTTCTTTGTACAAAGGAGGTTGTCCTCAGCAGTGTAACATTAATGTAAGGCAAGGACCACTCCTTCCAGGAAACATTGGCATTTGTAAGCGTGTTTTAATCTCTTCTGGGTTTCATTTGGGATCTCCTCCTGGGAAAGGCCCCCTTTTCCTACCCCACGTTTTTTTTAAAGCTGCTTCTAATTTATTAACTTTTAAGTCTGTGAATTTGTTTCACAGTTTTATGGCCTGGGTTTTTGCAAGCAGTGAAATTGGGGAAGTGATCAATGTGCCCACAGCTTATATGTGTATAATGTACTTTTGTTATTGTAAGTAGCCAAACTGCTGTGCACTGGAAGCTGTGATTCACTAGAGCAGGCTGCTTTCGCCCAGTAACGTGTGGCTGACGCAGGTGTAGAGCTCTCTTCTGAATCATGGAGCTGCTTTTTGAAGCATGGTAGTTTTGAGGGAGAGGGTCTTTTATCTCATTTCAATCCTGAATGTATGAAGTGCCTGCCTCAGCTCTCCCCAAGACCACGCGTGCGGCTGTCTCTAGATGTTCTCATGGGATGGAGCCAAGATGCGGTCATGGTGGTTTTAGACCAAGTATATACTGTGCTGGGACACGAGTCCTGCTTGGTGCAAGCGAGGGGTCCCCAGGACTTCACAGCACCACGGCAGGGATGAATTCTGTGTTTGCAACTGAAAATGCAGCATGGCTCTTCCCAGTGTGGAGGAATGTGCAATAAGGAAGCGCTGTGTCTGGAAAAGTCCTTCTTTAACGCTGTGTTTCTTCTCATGATTGTGTTAGACTTGACTCAAGGACCTATGGAGAAATTCTGTTGTTCTCTTATTTTAAACTACCTTCCTGCACTTCTGCATCTGGTGGGTTTGATCTGTATGCAAGAGCCCACCCAGGCTTGCTCTTGCCTTCCTGAAGTGTAACAACAGGCATATGGCTGGTGATTCCATGAGGGACCAAAACCCATAGGAAGTATCTCCTGCTGGTTCTAAAGCTGCTTGGTAAAAGCAGGTAAGATGCAAAGTTCATTGTTCCTCTTTGAAGTCATCCTGGTTGGGATTTTCTTCTGCGCCAGCCTGGATTTTGCAATTCCAAAATAAGTTTGCATGGGATTTTTTTGTGGACTATTGAAATGCAACCATGTGTCTCCAAAGTGACGTGGAGAACTGCAAAAGATGCTGGAGCTGTTGGGATAAATACTTCAGCATGGGGCCAGCATTATTCTAACAAAGCCACTTTGGTCTCTTTAGAACCAGCGGGTGTCATTTTCATGATCTAATGACAGTGTGGAGGCTCCTCCCTGGTGGTTTGTGCTGGCTATTTCATTCCATGTAACACAAACGAGGCAACTCGCCCCAAGAGTGGTGGCTTAGTCCGGTGCTGCTGTGTGGGGCTTGCCCGTGTGTTTGTATAGACCAAGAAGGAGACCTCACAAAGCACCTCCCTTGCCCTCAGTGGGGAAAAAATATTTACTGCTGCCCCTTGGAGGGTCATGAGATGCTTTGCTTGGTCACCTCTGTGCTGCAAGACAATATTCATCATCTTGTTCCCTCTGAGGATGCATTATATGGGTATTGTTTGAAAACGCTGCCCTAGGCCCCCCGAGCTGGGCTGGACTCTTGGGCTGCTTGGGCTGTGAGCAGGTTCCTGTAGAGTTGGTCCTGCAGCTGCAGGAGTCAGGGATAGCTGGAAGTGCAATTAATCCAACTTTTTATAGACTGTTAATGACAGCTGAAAATCGTGTCCTCGTCCTTGTGCTCATGGATAGAGAGAATCATCGAAATAGAGAAAAGAGAGTTCCAAGTAGTCCAGTTTCATTTGCACACAGAGCTTGGAATTTACTTCTGAAAGAATTGTTATGTTGAAGCACATATTCTTCAGTTACCAAACCTTTGGTATTCCAATGGGAATCCACTGGCAGCACAGGGCACTGTCTGATCACAGGCCCTACGTTTTCTGCAGCTCACAGACAAAAGAACCTTGTTGCACGACACAAATGTGGATTCATCCAACAGGAAAACTTAATTTCCTCCGCAGTAGCTAGAGCTTGGGCCTGAATTGAATCAGGGGAACCTGTGCAAGCAGGAAGCAATGTGCCAGGCGTCAGCCTGTGATGGTCCATGGCGTTGCAGCCATCACCCTGTGTCCTCCCACTGACCTCACAGGCACCCAGAACAAGGAAACCTCTCCTTGGCTGGCAAAGGAGAGGCCCCATAGGACTGTTCTTGAGGGTTTGGGCAGATGTGTGTAGGACAATCAATTTACTGCAATAATAGTTGGGGTTTTTTAAATAGAAATGAAATGTTACGAGTCATGAAGTGTGAAATCGAGGAACTTTAGATGGGGCAGGTTTTTATCTTTTGTACGTCTGTGACTTGCAGCAAACCTCAAATGATGTTTTGGATACAGATATTTTTACCTGCTTCTACCGTTTATAAGAATGAACCTCAAACATTCCTTTTTTTCTTTTATATTTAAGCCATAATTGTAAAAATGATTTTGATTTATTTAAATAATAAATTTTATTACTAAAATCTCTGTTTCTGTGATGGTTTGTCTGGAATCTGTGTGGGGATGGCTCTGTATGGACTGAAGCAAATGGTTCTGCGTTAACTGCAGGACATGCCAGTGTGTAGAGGGTGAGAGGAACCAGAGATGGAGATAAGTCAAGGTGAGTGATTTGAGAGCTTAGGATTCAGTTCAGGTGTTTTAGAGGGGAGGAGGGAGAAACAAAACAGCTGCAAGAGCTGGCACGGGGCATCTTTCGACGGATGGACAGCCCTGGGTGATGGAGATACTTCTATATCCTATGCTTTGCATAGACTCATAGAATGGTTTGGGTTGGAAAGCACCTTAAAGATCATCTAATTCCAAGGTGTCTGCCTGCTTCTCGCTGCTCCCACCTGTGAGTTCTGGCAGGGGGAAGTGTTGAGTCCTGAGCACTGCCAAAGGACGTTGTTTAGTGTGAGAAGGTTGGAACCTGGAAGGATTTGGAGAAGCCATTTGTAAAACTCTTGTTGAAAACAAGAACAAGTTCAGGTTTACTCCTCATACTTAAAAATAAGGTTTGCCTTTAATAGTTCTCACTAATATAGCTTCAAATGCATAAAATGAGAAGCACGTTCCTGTGTGTCACGTCATCCTTCTGGTGCACAAGTGCTGCTCTCCCTGTCTGCTGCGGTGTAAGTTGTCAGAATGATGGTGTCGTGCCACTCTTCGAACACAAGCGTACGTTCGGGTGATCTTCTGATGGTGAACTCGTATGACCTGCCAGGCTTCAGGTCCGGGACTATGCACGAGTTGGAGCTGACTTGGTGGGTCCTACCGAGTCCCACTTCCACCCCGACTGTCAGCAAGTTAAAGCTCAGCTCGCACTGTTCCAGCTGTGACTCTCGGTTCTCAGTAAACCACTTGAGCCTGGCCCAGTTCTTGTGTGCAAAAGATTCTTTGCGATCAAAAACCACTGGCATCTTGGTGTAGAGGGAAAGCTTAATGCTGGGGGGTCTGGTACCTGTAAGGTCCGCATGGGACACCAGGCTGTGCTTGACACAGATCTTCCCTGGAAATTCCAAGGAAAGGAGAGTTTCCATAAACCCGGTGAGCTTGGACAGTTTCTGCCTAATCGTGTCCCACTGGGAGAGGAAAGTTAGCATGTCACAGGCCTTTACATAGAAGCTCAGCTCCTCCCAACCTTGTTGCAGCTGTTCCAACAGCTCCGTTAGAAGCAACAGCTGGATTTTGGTCTGGGTTTTTCCCACCTTCCGCGTCCTCTGGAGCCGCTGCTGGTCTATGAGCTGCAGGATCTCGGTGCGATGCGTCGCATGGTTCTGGTCTCTCAAGTTCACGTGTTTGGGCTCAATATCCAAGTAAAAGGAACACCTCTTCAGCAGGTGAACCTTGTCCTGCTGCTGCTGGAGGTAGTGGAGGCTCAGGCTGGAGCGCAGGAACTGCTGGATGAGGCTCCTCCTTCGCAGGTACAGCTCCCAGCTGGCCCTGCCTTGTTCCTCCCTGCGCGCGGTGCGCTCCGAGCTGCTTTCAGGCTCGCTGGAAATCGCAGCCATGATTCCGAAGCTCAGTTGCTGCGTAAGGAAACAGCAATAACAACATTGGTGACCATAGGAAAAGCAGCTGTGAGGGAGCACAACCGAGGCCGTGACTCTCTTCAAGCTTAGCTTATCAGTTGTAGATGGGAAACAGCTCTGAGACTCCGTGTAGTTCCAGAGGAATTTTCCTTTCTAGTTGTACGATCTCTGACGTTTTGTGTAGTCTACTTTTCCGTATTCCAACTACCTGGGCTCCTTCTACCCTCCCCCTTTTGAGTGTTTCTACCTCTGCTTAATAACATTCACTGTCAGGAACTATTCTCTGATATACTCTGCCAAAATTCCTCTGTATCTTATTATCTTCTGTTCCATTCTAATTAGATGCCTTTGTACTCCTGTAAGCAATTTCTTTCCATTCTTCTACATCTCTGGAGAGGTCTGTTTTTCTCTCTCTGTAATCTGCCAGGTTGTTGAGGTTTGAGACCCATCCTCTAACCCAGTTCTGCAGCTACATAATCACCTTGGTGATTCAAATTAACCCTCTTCCCCCCACGTGAGCTGGGATTCAGCAGCCAGAACCACGCAATACACCGAGTGCTGCCGCACAACAGCTTTCGAGAGGAAAGCTGGTGCTTTTCCTTGCTCCTCTACCTTCAACAGTGGACTGACAGCCATAACCTGGTGTTTTCAGTGCTGTATTGCTCTCCCTTTCTTAGATTTTAGCTTGTATCATCACCTTGGACCACGATATCTACTTGCTTTCTTGTAGGATGTAGTGTTAGTGTCTAAACAATGTACAGTAAGAGAATGAAACACATGCAAAGCAACTGTGAACAGGTCACAGTTGGCTGTTAAGAAGGTGTTTAGGGGGTCCTTGCAATGCCTTATCTTCTGTCTCAGTCTTAGCTGTCTCATTTGCTGGCAAATACTTGCCCTGGTTGATGGTGCTGGGGCAAAGGGGTTTCTCTGTTGTGCTCCTACAGCTTATGTCTCATAAACAGAAATCAGTTAAATAAATGCCTGTGTCCCTGTTGCTGGTGATACCATCATGAGAACCCAGCTTGACATCGCGACCGTGGCTTTCACAAGCTGAACTCACTTGATCTGAAAAAGAAAGAAACAGGGAAACCTGGAAGTAAGATTTCTGTGTGCCCACTCAGCCTGTGCTGATACAATCCAGCAACAGGTAACTCTCCTCCTATGTGATTTTCTGCTTATATTTAAGTTCTTGTATCTAACTGAGGTGTTTTAATTCTTTGATGTCTGGTAGGAGCTGGATGGTGGTATCTGATTGACAGAGCCATTTTTCTTAGCCTCATTTTCCCCAAACACAGAACAGAACTAATAACACTTCCTTGGAGGGGTTTCAAGTGTTTGTAAACCTTTCAGCTGTCTGGCCTTTAGCTGCGCTGCAATTTATACTAATTCACTCATTCACAGCAACCTTTTATCCCAGGGAGCTGTCAGCTTCAGAAACAAGCGGAATTTCCTCTCCCTTTTTTCATTCCACACACCAAAACCCTCCTAACCCAGAGCAGAGCCCGCTCCCAGCATCCCTGTGTGGAGCACATGAGGGACAGCACATGCACCGGGTTGTGGTACCCCGCTCTCAGAGTGATTTGACTCTCCGCAGCAGCCTGTTTGCCCACGGACAGAGCTGGGATTGTGCGTGTTTTCCCTCTCTGTTTTTATATGCCTTGTTTTCCTTGCCAGAAACGGCTGGTTTCCCAGTAGCTGCACTGTGTCTGGAGCCAGGAGGAGGGAATCGCCCAAGCTGGGGCTGCGTTGCCTTGGGGTCACCCAGAGTCTGGACAGGATGGAAGGAGGCACCCACAGCAGCCGGGGGCACCGAGGGGAGTCAGGGCACCCCAACACTTTCCCACAGCTCAAGCCCAGAGCTGTGGCTTCCTCCCACTGCCCTGGTTGCCATCCCGGTTGCCATCCCGGTTGCCATCCCGGTTGCCATGGTGACGCAGTATGGTATGTGGTCCTGGGCCGGGGCCCTCAGCATCCACCATCTCCCCTCAAGCCTCTGCTTTTCACTGTGATGCTTTTTGCTGCTGGTGGCAGTGGTTTAATGAAAACATCACAGAGTGATTTGTGTTGAAGGGACCTCAAAGCTCCTCCAGCTCCAACCCCTGCCCCGGGCAGGGACACCTTCCACTAGAGCAGGTTGCTCCAAGCTCCTGTGTCCAACCTGGCCTTGAACACTGCCAGGGATGGGGCAGCCACAGCTTCTCTGGGCACCCTGTGCCAGCGCCTCAGCACCCTCCCAGGGAAGAGCTTCTGCTCCAGAGCTCATCTCAATCTCCCCTCTGGCAGGTTAAAGCCATTCCCTTTGTCCTGTCCCTACATCCCTTGTCCAAAGCCCCTCTCCAGGTTTCTTGTAACCCCTTTAGGCACTGGAGCTGCTCTAAGGGCTCCCCTAAAGGAGCCTTCTCTTCTCCAGGCTGAGCCAGCCCAGCTCTCAACCTTTCAGCCTGTATCCCCATTTACAGGGACATACCCCAACAGTCTACAGGACTAATCATTTGTACCTTCACCTCATAAACTGCTTCTCTGGTCCCGGAGGAAACGCGGTTCCCGGTGGGTGCGGGAACACCCGGCGGGATGTGTGTGTCTGGGGGGAGGGTCACCGCAACGCTGTCCCTCTGCCTCCTTGATTCCACCAGCAGCTCGTACATGGAACACAAGCCGCACGGAACGCCCGGCTCTTGTGATCTCAGCGTGATGCTGCTCCCGGTGCAGTGGATTTGGGTGTTCTGAGCACTGCAGGTTTGTGTTCATGTGATTTCCAAAGCTTTGCTTCCCCCTACGAGACATTCCCATTGCTCCTCCATCCTGTTGCACCTCTGCTCCATGGAACCAGGCAGCAGCTTCAGTGTTCCATGCGCCCCAGTTCCAAGGAGCCACTGAGCTGCTGTGGGTTGGTTTAAAGCTCTGTTCTCTTTTGCCAAACCTGGACCTCAGCAGCAAACTACAGGGACGTGGCCTCGAGCCGAGTCTCTGCAGACAGAGATGAAGTAGCAACGGGACCCTTTAAGGTCCCTTCCAACTCTCTTTAAGGCCTCTTCCAAGTCTAACCATTCTATGACAGCCAGGAAACGGTAAATGCTACCTCAGCACAAGGCGTAGTGAGCACAGCACTGAGCAGGAAAGCTGGCTCCATCCTGGGAAACCTTGAAGTCATGTGTGGAGGGACCTGGGATACCCACAGATGCGCTTCAGCGTTGCTCTTTGCTGCTTTACAGAAGTTAATATTTGCCTGGCAAAGCATCAGGAATCCTGAGGCACTCATGGCATCTGCTGGGCTCCATGGAATGCTGTGGGTGGGGGTATTTTCTCTTATCAAAGGTGATTTTGCAGTCTTTACATCTGATGCCAAACACACGCCAGGGCTTTGCTCTCCACAGTGAGATAAGGCTGTTCCACCAAGTGTCAGGAGTTTTGTGAGCTGAAACACACAATCCTTATTAGAGATATGTTGAAATAGAATATGTACTGCTCCATTAAGTGCAGCAAACTACCTTTTGAGTGGGAAGAGCTTTTCCTGCTCTGCTTTGCCGCACGACTGGCCAGTTGGTTGTGGAGAAGAGACTGGCTCACCTGGTTTGCAAGCTCAATACATGCCTGGCATGTTCATCAGCAACCTGGCCAGGCCTCCTGTGTCTTGAAGGTGCCTTCATACTCCCTGTGATTAGATATTTGGGTCAGGGCTTAGCCTTAACGCTGCCGCATGTGCTCACCTGGTGCCTCCCTGCTAAGCCTTTTTAATTGAGTGATAGGCAAGATCCGCCAGAGCGGCCCAGAGCTCCTGCTGGAGCATCAGGGGAGGAAGCGACCTGTCATCCTAAGAAATCAGTGCATCTTCTCAAGGCAGCTGGAGCTTACCATCTCATTCCACAGCTGCCAAGAGATTAACTAGGCAGTTGTCAGGTGTGATTTCTAGCAGACAAGGAAGAGAACAAATACGAATGACAGCAGGTTGATGGCGGGGGGCAGGGGGTGGGTATTAATGCCAGGTTTCTGCAGGAAGCTCATGTCACGCATCCCGATCCTGTCGTCAGGGTTGTGTGTGCTGGGAGTTGGATCTCTCCCTTTCCCTTGGCCGTGGTGGTGTCAGGGCTTAAGGATGTAGGAGGAGCCCTGTGGAGGTCCAGGTAACCTCACCTCCTGTTCCAGCCATGGCCAGTGCCTGGGGCCGGGGTTAAGCTTCTGGAGATGTGCTGGTGTCTTTCTATGCAAGAAGTCTCTATGGAGCACGTCTGCCCTCGAGCTGGCGCGCTCCGGGCTGCTCACCGTGCTCCTGTGCCCCGGAACTGACCTGAAAAGGCTGGAGGTGGAAGATGCAAGTGCTGCAGAGCCGAGTGCAGCATCTCACACAGCAGAGGTGAGGTCCTGGGCTTTTCTCCTCACTTTGGCAGGGTCTGGAGGTCACCTGTGCTCAGGGTTTATCACTGGCGTTGTGAGGAGACTTCGCACTGAGCTTGCTTGTACTCACTGTCATGAACAATAAACTTCATCCCAAATTTAGCATGGAAAAATGGGATCCCTTTGGCCGCCCCTGCTCTGAATACCTGCCCAAGCTGCTGTCTTGGGTTTAGGAATATGAATTTAAACCTGCTTATAGCCTGCAGGTGAAACTTTACTGTTTTCAGCAGCTTTGCACCAGGGATCGATTCAACCACCAGAGTTTATAGCACTCCACGAACCTCTTTGCATTAATACAAACCCAAAGGTGTTTGAAGCACCTTTTCCCCCCTCTCCCATCAGCTGAGCTCTCTGCAGCGGAGCTGACAGCTCTTGTCTGCCACGTTTGTCGTTGTGCCCTGTCCTGGCCACAGCATCAAAATAAAGAACTCGTTAGTCCTGTCGTTGAGCTCCAGACAGAAGCAGACAATTGATTTTCCTCCCTCTTCTCATTAGTGAGATCTGACACTTAATAAAACATATATTTCCACTCTTGGGGTAGGCAAAACACCCAGATAGTGCCTGTCAGTGAGAGGCGGGAGCAGGGA